ATGGTGTAGGAGGTTATGGGTTTAGGGTTCCTAGAGGAGGGCTTTTGGGTTTTGGGGCCTTGGAGTCAGCGGCTTCTGGTTTAGGGTTTAGTGTCTATGACAAACTGCAAGCGCGCCGTGCCCGAAGTTCCCAGTGATGCCATGTAGGCCATCGCAGCAACATCATAGGAGGCCAAAATAAAGGGGTTTTAGCCTATGGGGGTTTAGGAGGGATTAGGGTTCCCAATTTTTTGTGTTCATATGGGTGGTTGTCAAGAATCATGGTCCCTTTTTGGGCACCTTAAATAATAGGTGCCGTACTACATTAGGGACCCAAAGAGGGACCATAATTTTGACAACCACCCAGACCAAGGAATCCCTACCATCGCATATGCCAGGATATGAGCTCAGTCACGGTCTGCTGGGTTTGGAGCTCTCGTTTTGAGAGGAAGCCATCGAACTGCCGAGCCAGTGGGCATAGAATCACAGTCTAGCCGCATGGCTGCTGTAAACGTTCCTTCTCTCACTGCAGAACTGCCTGTGATGCCAGCGTGTCCTGCACATTTTGTGTGCGTGACTTATGTGGGTACTGCACTGCTGGGTCATGGCGTGCAAGACGAGAAGCTTTTATGCATGGGCGTGATGCAGCAGCGACCCTCCCGAGCATTACCTTGATGCGCGCGCAGCAGTGGAAGAGGAATGGACATCGCAAGCAGCGGCATCATCACCTGGGCGCCGCGCGTCTGAGAACTCAAGTGTGACAATACAAATTTGCACTTGAGGGTCATGATGTGCGAGACGAACAGCTTTTGCCATGCATGGCCGTGACGCAGCAGCGATCCTCCTCAGCGTCACCTTAATGCGTGCGCAGCAGTGGAAGAGGAATGGACATCGCAAGCAGCGGCATCATCACCTGGGCGCCGCACGTCTGAGAACTCAAGTGTGACAATACAAATTTGCACTTGAGGGTCATGATGTGCGAGACGAACAGCTTTTGCCATGCATGGCCGTGACGCAGCAGCGATCCTCCTGAGCGTTACCTTAATGCGTGTGCAGCAGTGGAAGAGGAATGGACATCACAAGCAGCGGCATCATCACCTGGGCGCCGCACGTCTGAGAACTCAAGTGTGACAATACAAATTTGCACTTGAGGGTCATGATGTGCGAGACGAACAGCTTTTGCCATGCATGGCCGTGACGCAGCAGCGATCCTCCTGAGCGTTACCTTAATGCGTGTGCAGCAGTGGAAGAGGAATGGACATCGCAAGCAGCGGCATCATCACCTGGGCGCCGCACGTCTGAGAACTCAAGTGTGACAATACAAATTTGCACTTGAGGGTCATGATGTGCGAGACGAACAGCTTTTGCCATGCATGGCCGTGACGCAGCAGCAATCCTCCTGAGCGTTACCTTAATGCGTGTGCAGCAGTGGAAGAGGAAAGGACATCGCAAGCAGCGGCATCATCACCTGGGCGCCGCACGTCTGAGAACTCAAGTGTGACAATACAAATTTGCACTTGAGGGTCATGATGTGCGAGACGAACTAGCTTTTGCCATGCATGGCCGTGACGCAGCAGCGATCCTCCTGAGTATCGCTTTGATGTATGCTGGGGATTGCTGGGGCTGTCTCTCCTGCAGTATTCATGAAGCCCTGGAAGATCTCGCCACAGTGAATTTCTTAGGTGTGGAGGTCTTGAATCTTCACTATCGAGGGTGGTAACCAGACAGCATGCCTGAAGCATCTGGCAGACAAGATGCACTGCTGAGAACTCAAGTGCGGTACATCAGTCCGCACTCGAGGGTCGTTATGTGCAAGACTGACTGCTTTGCCATGCATGGCCGTGATGCTTCAGCAACTGAGCATCACCTTAATGTATGTGCACCAGTGCCACACGAACGGCCAAGTCCGACTAGAGCAGACCGCACGGCATGCCAAGCGTTGCAGGACTTGGAAGCCCTAGAGGCAGACCTGTCAAAAATGGAGGCTGGTGCTCGAAGCTTCGAAGCAGCTTGTCTCCGGGCTGCATTCTGTTCAGGCCGCTTTCGAAGGGCGCGCGCCGCTGGCCTTTCGGCGCGGTGGCCGTCCGGTTCCCGCAGGGTCTGAGGCAGGGTAACTCATGAGGCGAAAGGTCTTGGCAAAGTCTAGTTCAGAGTCTGACAAGGACTTCAGGTCTCCTTCTTGGAATTAGCAAGTTTGAGTCCCGACCCTGACTTGCGGAGGCTGTAATGCAAGGACTTTCAATTTGACGCTTGCACACCTTCACAGCCACGCACTCTTCAGAATCCAATCGGGGAAGGCATATTGACACGCCCAAGCACACTCCACGCGAGAATGAGGACCCCACCCAGCGGCCATGCACGGCCCGGAGGCATTGGCATGAAGATACGAAGATAAGTTACGTCTTTGGCACCACACCATCAGGCTTTTCGTTGGCTGCCCCGTGACAGTGGGAGCGATCTTCTAAGATTTCAGGCGCTTGCAGTTTCAACGAAACCGTAGAGTCTGTTGTGTCTGTTCTGCGGATCCGCAGGAATCGTTTCAGAAGGGAATCAAGCCCAAAGTGGGAAGACTGGAAGGGCAGCCATCGAGCAAGCAATGCCTGCCATTGCGACATGATGCGGTGATGTGCATGAAGAAATTGACTTCATGGCAGCACCTGCATCACAGTGACTTCTCGGATCCCTGTGGGCTGTTTATGCAGAAACATCGTAAGCTCCGGTGCCGGCCCTGCCCAGCAGACCCTGGCCATCCCAGCTGGACTCTGTTTTGTGGCAGTTGCGCCTTACCCGGACAGTTGCGACGTGCTTTGGAACGACTCTCACCGAGGCTGGAACACGACGCCTGTCGCGCATGTTGGGCTGAGGCGTGCTGTGGGGCTGAGCTCTGGACAGGGGCGGGGATAAGCCTTAAGAGTGGTTCACGGCTTGAACCAAGCTTTCGTCCTGTCGTTTGGAGCAGCTGGCGTGAAGTTCGTCCAGGTGAAGTATGGCACAACAACTGCAACAAAAACAACAAACCCTGCCTGACTAATTCAGAACTTTTGGTATACTTTTGGTGCTGGAAGGTTGAGCTGATTGGGGTCCAGGGTTGAATCAAGGTGGAGGGTTGAATTAGGCATCCTTGGGCTGCTGGGGCTGAGTGAAGTAAAGATCGGGATATGGTTAAGGTTTGAGCGCATGTTGACGGGCGTGGCAGGACTTGAGAGTGTCACAACTGAGCACCACCAAGCAACTCTCTGTGCCGAGTGCTTCAGAGCTTCAGACGGCTGCAGCACTTCAAAAAAGTATTGTAACTCATGTATGATGTGTCGATCCAATCGGCAACCCTCGGTTCCACAGCAAACTGCGCAAGTGGCGCCTTCTCTTCTTGCCGTGTTTGGGTGTGTCAGGGTTCGCTTGAGCGCTTTCCTATGTTACTTGCAAGATAAATTTAAACTGAAGTAAGTTGTCCAGGTAGGCCACAATGCTCGCGGCTCCAGGTCCGGCCCAACGCAGGACTGCGAAGTGGAGCTCGACATCTTCCTTCGTGAGGACTTCCTACCCCTTGGGCTCATGGAGCACGGCAGGATATCACAGTTTGGGAGCTGGAAGGGAAGATGATAATACCGATGATACAAGAGGAATAATCATCATCATAATAAGAAGAAGAGTAATGATGAACATACTAGAAAGTGCAAAAAGGATTGCAGATAGTATTAATGTGCTTCCGGCCACTTGACGTTTGCCGCTTCTCGGCTCAGGCCCAAAGCTAGGTGTTCCCGCACCTCTGGCCTTTCGCCCCATCGGATGACCAGCGCCTGCCGTTGGACAGTGGGCGCTTGTGTCGGTATGGGAGGTCCTTCATTTAGTTTAGCCTTTGATCAAAGTATCAGCCTGATGACCCTTTCGGTGGTTCCATCCATTCTTATGTGCATGCTCCAGTTCATCTTCCACTCCCTGGGAGAGCTTTCGCACCTTTTGAGCTTCCTGGGAGTCTCCTTACTCGCTTTTAAGAGGGGGATCGCACCCGCTTTCTTCCGAAGGGTGGATCACCCACTGCACTGGTTGGACCGCATTCGCTGGATTGCGTGCTGCTGTTCATACACTGCTCTGGTTGTGATCTCTTCCTCCTCCAACGGACCAGTCTATGCTTATACGTGCCTCTGGCCCATTGTGCACACAAGCCTTACAAGCTTTAGCAGCTTCGGCCTCGACCGCGAGGGCGCTCAGAGTGCCCTAGTCCAGCTGCGAGACGCCCGACTCGACATGAGCAGGGTCGGCGCAGCTGCGCACTGCAGCGATTGCAGTGCCAAGCAGTGCATGTTCAAAGACTGCAGGGCCCCTGCAGGTTTGCCAGATGTCGGCTCAAGACAGGACTGGGGCCGGGGCTTCAATCAGGTCGATGCCTTAGCGGGGAAGGCAGAGGACAGAGGAGGGAGCTCCTGCTCCATCACCTGCGTGTTTGCAGTGCCCATCGTCGCCGCCGCCTCGAATTCCTCGACGCCCCTCGCATGGGCCATCCAGTCGGGGCTTCCCCCGCAAGAGGACCAAAGTGTCCTCACAGGAGCAACTCGCTTCTCCTGGTGGGTTGGTGCACGGGAGGCCTACCAGGTGGCCATGGACGAGGTGATCTCTTTGCAGGTGCCCAGGCGCTTCAGGCAATGCACCGGTCAGGAACCCCTCCCGGGCTCAGCTCATTGGGTGTCCAAGTGCGTATCTCGGGGCTTCGTCAACTGCCGTGGTGCACGCTTGGCAGGCAGTTGTTGCTGCCCGGTGGGATTCCGGATTCATGGTGGCGTTTGCAAAGCTTGCGGCGGTTTCGCCGAGCATGTCAGCACCTTACACCAACTACCGCTCCTTTACACACTGCAGGCTGATGCAGGCAAGCTCGCCTTCAGGCTGATGGCGACCCTGTAGAATTAGAAGATAGATGTTTCGGGCTGTTTCGGGCTGTTTCGGGCCGTTTCGGGACTTTATTAAGGAGAGCATAAGGAATGTTTCAAGCCTCCATAGAGTCAGCCCTCCATGTTTTTCAGGTGGCCTTGTCGATGGTCTTGCTTCCCTGGCCTTGGGCCTGGCTCGCACGGCTGCTGTGGCAGGTGGGCCGCGCCAGGGGATGCGCGTCCCTAGAGAGGTACAGGATGCACCACGAGCGCCAGATCGTGGCCACGGCCTGGCGCAAGAGGCCAAGGCCCGAGCCCGAGGAGGACGGTGCCGTGCGTGTGCAGGCCGGTCAGTGGAAAGGGGCATGTGAGCTCTATGTGCTCGGGCGAGCGAGAGTGGAGTAGGACAAGAGGTTTTGGCAACTGCTATGAAGGTCCGCACAGGGGCCGGTGGCTGTAGCAGGAACTCACGTATGGTTAAGCAAGGAGTTCACTCAGCTGATATTGGCATTGGGTCATGCGGTTCTCCCATTTAGGCTGAGACACGAGCGGACAAACTTGCACATATAGCATTCGGAGCGTCCAGCGGCCCTGAAGAGAGGTGAGCTCACTGTCCGGGGAGACGAAGGTTCTTTCGATGCTGCCCAGGTCTTTGCTTCTTGGCTGGATTCCGATCGGCGCCCATGCCGTAGACGCCATAGACCCTCCTTGGAATATAGTGGAATGAGAGGCTGGTGCACCTGCGCCAAGCCGTGGCCGATGCCTTCGATCTCGAGTTTGAGTCCATTGGCCTGGTGGAAGGTGTGCACGAAGAGGAGGGAAGAGAGGGTTTTGCGGAGGCTTATTTCGAAGTGACAGGTACCCAACCCTTGCCACCGGAGAAGGACTTCCATTCCCTGCAGCTTGCCAGATTGCCGTCTGTGGACGGAGGTGTTGAAGGAAGATACTGTCTGTTGGGATCAGGTGTCGGACTTCGGGTGGGCAACAAGCGTCAACGTTTGAGCAGTTTCTCTACTCTTTTCAAGACATACGTCACGTTCTCTGGCATCTTGATGTTGTGAGATTCCCCAGATGCCTCTGAACACGTTCGAAGGTGCGATCCCATGTCCCGTGGACCGACTTCAGCAATCACAAAGAAGCAGCAAGTTGAAGCATGCTGTGATTGAGACGGAACTCAGGCAGCATCTGGGCCTCACGGACATGCCGCAGCTCACCCTGATCCGATGCGCCTCCGAGGGCACTCGCCGGGCCAAGCTAGCGGACCGGGCGGCACTTTTGGATTCGCAGCAGCTCCAAGATGAGTTGTTTAGCTGGTCGGAAGGAGCCCTATAGAATTTGAGCATCCTAAGTTCCAGCGTCTCAATCCGGCGATCCGCAGATGTCTGTTGATCTAGTTTCGTGAAAGAGGCTCAGGTTTCAGCCTTCGCGGTTGATGGGCTATGTTCCAGTAGAGTCAAGCAGGTGGCACTAACTTGACACCGCACAGGACTCTGAAAAGATAGTGGGTTGTGAGCTGCATATCTAGAGGTCCTCTAGCAGCACCCGTTTCCGATCTGTTCCGCGACAAGGCAGGCTCCTCGGAGACAGATGCTCTGTCATTCTTCCGGCGCAGCCGCAATGTGTACAAGGCTTTAGACTGCAAGCACCTCAACCGGTCGCTCGGCCGTTTTTGCAAGCTTAGTGAGTGCGACAGCTTTTTTGACTGTTCGATGGGATGAAAGAGGAGATAGGGGTCAAAGAACTTTCTCGGCAATCAAAAAACTTTCCAGCCATCAACAACAACATTCGCATACAAACACTGTCTCATTTTTGTAAGACGGAGCAGCACAAATCTAGCAAAGGAGCCGGCGCAAGGGGTGCACGAGGGGTTCGCACACTTGGTTCGCACGGCCAGGGTGCGTGCGCGCCCGGGGGGCACGGGGTATGCGTGCGCACAGGGGGTGCGCACACAAGGGGGTGCAGAAGGTGCGCGCCGGCATGAGGGGTGCACGGCACGCAAGAGGGTGCGCACGGTGTGTGCGTGCACGGGGTATGGCCGAGCAAGGGTGCAAGCGGCGTGTGTACAAACGCGCAAGAGGGATGCGCACGCACGGGGCCCCAAGGGAGGGACGTTCACGAAGTTGCGAAGGCTCTCACAAATGCTTGACTTACGAAAACCTGGCCAGGCTGCCTCCGCCAGCAAGCAAAATGCCGTGGTCATGGTGGCTGAAAGGGGGCCCAGTGCACGGTCGAACCGGGGGGTGGCAACCACAAGGCAGTTCAACCATAGTGTTGTCGTGGTCGTATTGGCGTCGTCCCTGTCATGACTCGGTTCAAGCTTCTGCTTCTGCTGCTCCTGATATTGGACCCGAGTCTTATGCCGACCAAGAGTTCAACGTTGCAATCCCACCCAAGCCATTTGGAAAGGACCAGGCACTCGCCGCCTAATTCGCAGTCCAGCAGGAGCATCGTTGATGTACCATGATGTACCTAGTCTAGTATGTCATTGGGTACATGTACAGCACGGTTCGGCATGTCTTCCCTAGCCAGAATTCCCTCATCATGCTACACCCTTCAAGTCTTGCTGTCAACATGAATGATATGTTGTATCGATATCACCAAGACCGGGCCTCTAGCTACACCCTAAACCCGAAGCCTCACATTCCCAAAGCTCTTCCTGAACACACCCCGAGCTCCAAGCCCCAAACTTATGGTCTTCCAAATGACAGCGAGAAGCCGACAGGGGGCACACAAGAGCTGTGGAATCAGAACCGGAAGCCCTAAGCCTCAACTGCTAACCCCCGCCCTACCCCGGAACCAGTGGACTTCAAGTTCTCCTCGCCGTAGGGAGAAGCATGTCTGGAAAGTCATACTATTAAACTATTTTCCTTGATTGTTGGACAGTTTTTTCGATGGCTGGCGAACAGTTTTTTGATTTCCTCAAAGGGGTTTTTGAGCCCCAGGAAAGAGTCTAGATTCTGTGGAAGTACGCAGCACTTGTCGGTCGCATCTTTAGCTTTCTTTCCCTACAGCATTACGAGACTTGCTGCTTCGCGTTGCATGTTGCAGGCTTCGGGTGGCCCCGGCGACGGTCGCAAATTTGGGGGACACGTACACACAAGGCATCGGACGCACAAAAACCTCTGAGGTGAGTGTAAGTGGCTCTTGCAAGTTTTGCCGAACGCCTCGGAGCCAGGATGGCATAGTAGCTTGTGTCGCAACGTTAAGGGTAACCAGAGCAACCAAGTTAGTCATTTTGACGCTGTCATGTCCGTCATGCGGATGATGATGGGTTGCTCACACGGCGGACCGGTGTAGGGTGAATAACTAGGTCTTGCTAACTGCTTACTCCATGTGTTGTAGCGCGACATCATGTGGTAGTTCGTATCACATGGTATTATGTTGTATTTCGTTCGTGATGTTGATGTCCAAATCCGTTCATTTACCTATTCCTGTATCTGGCGTCTACCAATGCTCAGGTCTGCCCCCAATAAATATCTATCTGTCATCTCTATCTGTGTTCGATTTGGATTTCTTGTCGTTTTGTCTCTGGCAGGATGGACTTGCCATGGCTGCGAAGCGCACTTCCCCCCGGGCAGCCTCCTGCGCCGTTGTGATACCTGTGCAGTGGATTTCTGCGCAAGCTGCGCGGCCACCTGACGCTTTCATGCTTTCGCCATCTTTCGTTTTCGAGTAGGTCTCCGGATCTCCAAAAAGATGATCGCACTGTGTTGTTAGCAATGTGCGACGCAGCAGAATCTGCTGTCACGCCTGTAGAGGGGCAGATACAGTCGTTCTACATTCGGGACCTTCGTGGTGCTGGCGCCCATGCTAGACCAAGACGATACCAAGCGCTCGAACCGAGAAAACGGATTGCAGCGTCGCAGCACTATTGGCATGTCTCCCAAATAGAGCGGAGAGTCCCGCCGATTTCAGCGTTTCACTGGCCAAGGAGCCCTTACAGGCCGAGAAGGATTTTCCCTCTGCAGAGGAGCCTCGAAGCCGTAGATTCGGCTAAGGGCATCATGTGCTTTACGACTCGTCTTGTCAGGAGATCTTCCCACTCTGCCGGGGCCCATTGGGACTTCAAACGTGCAGAGTGGATGAGTTCATGATTGGGGGGGGGGGAAAAGTGTATTTGGCAGACACTGTCGTGAGGCACCATCGACTTCCATGGCATCCAGGCAACTGCTTGTCGAATTCAGGGTGGGGTGTTGCAGAGGAGTCTTCCTTCACGAGGTGCCCTCGCCGGGTCGCCCCGAGCCATTCCTGCAGCGGCTCTACGGCGTGGAGCCGGCGAGCCTTCCGTAATCCGAGCGGGTCCTTACAATGACACATGTGACCTTGTGTCTTGAGATTGCGGATCGCAGCGAATATGGAACTTCCGCGTTTCGAGCTAGAATCATGACGCCCCAGCATCCAGAATTTCTGCGTCACTCGCCAGTACTCCGCAGGCTCTGCAGACACCCCCTGTCCTTGCAATAATGGCCAGGTGGACTGGCAAAGTACCGTTCGCGTCTGGAGCCGTTTGCCGAGATCATGTGCTAGCTGCGGTTTGGGCTGTCATCGAATGCTAGCAACCTTGTCGGTTGCAATATCAGCGCTCACGCATAACTGTTTGCCTATGTCTGAGTTGTGTGTTGCACTTGATAGTTCGTGCACCCTTCAGCAGCAGCTGTCCAGAGGCCTTGTGGCCTTTACATAGCCTTAGGATGTTGCCGCATCATGAGGGGAAGAGCTGTGAGATCCTCATCTTCGATGTAAGGAGGGATTCCCGTGCTGCACTGCTATTGATCCCGTTGATTGTAATCACCCTCCGCAAGGTGTTTGCCGAGTTGGCTAAGCGAGGTGTGTCGTGCTGGGAAACTTGGCGCTGAGGCCATGATTTCAATCCATTCCACAGCCTCGCGCATGATCCGGAACGCGGTTCTCCCAGTACTGAAGTGCTGAATCAGGTTTTGGCGCTTAATCTGCAGTTGCCAAGATGCGCTGCGAGACATGAACTGTTGCTGGCCAAGTATGACTTCGAAAGGTGTGAGTATGTCTTTGGACGCCTACACAGAGATGGCCAGGGGCCAAGGAATTGTTTGGCGAAGCTTGGATCGCTGAAGTGTCGACTTGGAAACTTCCCTCTGCATGGGTACGCTGGAGGTCACAGCGGCAGGCTACCAGAGCCCAAGCACAAGCCCAGACCCTTGGGAGGCTCTGAGACTTCTCGAAGGCCAGAGCGGAGAGAGCTTGCAGAACAAAAGCAGCTGTGGAAATCTGTGACCACGTCTTCGATCTTCAACCTAAGCTTTGATGATCGGCTGCGTTTGCGTTTTCCGCTCATGGATCAGCTGAGATTGTCGACTTGGCAACAAGGATTCTGGGTTTTGCATGTAAGCCTCGATATGGATGCATGTGACAAGTTAGGTCCAGGTCAGATTCCAGGATTCCTGGTTGCCCTGACTCAACCAGAACCACGTCCACATCTGTGCGACAGGCGCCGGAGTGCTGCTGGCGCTGCGGAAGAGCCGCGAGGAGACTTGGTTGGAGAAGCTGCAGAGGCCCACATTTGCGATCGGTATCCACCACGGCCCAAGATCGGAGGTCCGTGTCCGTCGTCCTAAGCTATTTGGAGCAACGAAGACCGCAGCCCTTGCAGGCGCAATCGCGAGCAGGCGGAAGCCAGGACAGCACTTGAGGAAGCGACAACAAAAAGACCGCTTGCTCCGCTGGCAGCGAGAGGGTAAAGTTCACGGAGGGAGCAAGAAACATCAAGAAACTAAGTTCGAGAGAAAGGATGAACACCACAAGTCTTCCCTCTGCTTCAGTATGCCTTATGGCAAACGAATGTCGGAATCCTCGAAAGTTCGTACGGGGAGGCAGACGAAAGCATGTTTTGGGCGGCCTCGCGCCTTCGGGCAGACCGTCGCTCTGAAGATTGGAGCTTCTTGCGCATGCCGTGAGAGTCTCGTACATGCCGCTGACCTTCAAGGCATTGTGCCAAGGTAATTCGAAAGCCCTAAGAAGCATGGCTGCGCACAGCTGCGAGCAGCTAGAGCCATGCTGCAGCCACCTGCAGTCTCTATTGCACCCCCTCCCCCCCCCCCACCCCCCAAAACTCGCAAGATGAGCAGTTTCTTCATCCACTAGTCTCCGCTTGTCATATCGTCCTGCATACGGCAGAGCCGCACTGCCATGGAATTTTCTCCGACGCCGCAAGGCCTGGAAGCAAGGGCAGCATCTGAGATCGTTTGATAGGGTGGTTGTGCGGAGGCAGGTTTTTGCAAACCCCCAAACCCCTAAACCCCCCAAACCCTTAAAACCAGACCCCTCGGCAGTGGTCCTCGTCCAAGAAGTCACCTGTCAGACTTTGTTTTGGGGATCTTTCCGCCGAGCCGCACATAGGGGTTTAGGGTTTAGTTAGGGCTGAGGGGTTGAGGGTTTAGGGTTTAAGGCTTAGCTTTCGGGTTCGCATCATACAACAAGAAGCTACATTCGACATCCAACAAAGCTCGAACGCAGATCCCGAGCCTTATGATGGCAGCTGCTCATCTTAGCGTGGCGAATACATGGCCCTGCTGCGCATGAATAGAACAAGATAATGTGGCACATCATATGATCACCGAGGCCGTAACCAAAGTTGCTTGACCTGTGCACGAGGTAGAGCAGACGTTGTGAGCTCATGGTCATGTCGCAAGCGTACCATTGTTGGAGCCTCATGCTCGCAGGAGCCGATGGACTCCGATTCGGAGCGTGCGGCTCGATCTGCCCCACGGCCCTCCCCATTGCAGGCAGAGAAGATGCGGCATGCGGCAAGATCAAACGCACCAGTGCGGCTCATCTTCTAGCGGAATCGTGGTCACGTTGCACAGGCACTTCGAAGGCAGTGGCGTGAACGACAGCCACTGGGACCTCTGTGGGCGGACCAGGGTGAGTCTGAGAAGCCTTGGGACAGCAGTAGCTCCTAATTATCAGATCTCAAGTGGCGCTCGTGAAGTCATGATGCATGCTTGGGACATTCAGGCGAACTTTAGATTTCTTCAACCCCCAAAATTCTTAGGCACCAGCTTTTGTTCTGAACATTCTTGCTTCTATTGCGTCTTCCTTATTTCTCCCTGACGTCTTGCTTGAACTTGTACCGGTACTTTCGTGCGAATTTCCAGGCTTACGCAAGGTCCATGGGCGATTCGGGGCGAGAGCATCACCAGCTCTAAAGACGACGCATTGATGGTCCAATTGATGGGAAACAGGTTCGAGGCAAGCTCCAGCGCAGGTGTTATCGGCCAGAGGAGAAACCAACCATGCCAACCATGCTGATGCTGTTTTCCCTGAACAGGAATGCTTAAACACAGCTTCTGCATCTGTTAACGGCAATTGTTGAACAACAGATGCCAGTAAGTGTTCCAACTCTTACTGGAACTCTGCGACCTATGCTAAGATGCTCCCTAGTTCTCAACAGAGTCTGGCTCCATCTTGGTTTCTTGGCCGGAGTGGTTTAAGGCTCAGCCCCGTGCAGCAGACGCCGACAAGGCCACATCATGATACTGCGATTCTGGGTTCAGGGCCCGGCTTGGTGCGCATGTCAGTGCGAGCAGAGGAGAAAGCAGTATCCTAGCTTTATAGTGCCGATCGTTGGAGGCGGCGGTGGTGGTGCTGGTGCCCGCAAGTAGTAGTAGCAGCCGTCGTCGTGGTGGTCGTAGCTATCGTCGTCGTCGTAGTGGTAGCAGTACTAGTAGTCGTCGTCGTAGTATTACTAGTAGTACTGCTGCTACTACTGCTGCTGGTGCTGCTGCTACTACTACTACTACTACTATTACTAATACTTCTGCTTCTACGTCTACCACTACTACCACTACCACCGCGAAGACTACGACTAGCTACGATTGCTGCCACCGTGACGACTACGACGACGACGACGACGATTACAACTACTAGGTACTTTCTTACTTCACTTCCTTACTTCCTTACTTCCTTACTTTCTTACTTGCTTGCTTGCTTACTTGCTGATGACGACGGGGGCGGCGGCTACGACGTAGTACTACCAGTGCTGCTGCTGCTGCTTCAATCGATATCAACGGCAGCGGCGTGCGGACAAGTGAATCACAGTGACCATCACAATCACTTGTTGTCCTCTCAATATCACATCATCATCACCATCATCGCCATCATCATGTTCATCACGACCATCATCGTCATATCGTCGTTTCACTCTAACCACATTCAAGAGCATATGAAGGTATCAGCAGAACGTGCAAAATTACAAGTTGGATGTCAACCCCAGCCTTCGACAAGCATCTTTTCCGGGGCCCTCTATGCAAGGCACCATGCCGATGTACTCAGCCTCAGTAGGTTTGAACGTCTGTCTAAAGAACGACCCTCGGCGCAAAGGCGGTTGGCAGACCTGCTTGCTGCAGCTGAGTCACCTGCACGGGTCTGCCGGGGTTTGTTTGAGGGGCACCTTGACCTTGATCCAGCGCTTGCTATCAAGATCGGTTCAAGTGTGAGCTCGGCAGGAGTAGACAATGCTCCTTCGTTAAGTTTCGTGTCCTGTGCCAATATAACGGCCGAGCTTTGTCGACAAGCACTGGAAAGCCGCGGACTGGTCGCATGAAGTGATTCGAGGACGTCTTCGGGGACAGACCCGGTTCTCCGACGGCAGAAGTGAGGGACCGGAGCTGGCAGGCGCCGAAGCAATGATTTTGTTGAGAATCAGGTCCTGCTGTCCAAAAATGCCGGCTTTGAAGCTTTGCAATGCTTTTGTCTTATCAGATGTGTTTGTACTAAGAGGAAAGCATGGAGTGCTCGTCAGGGCTTTGCTCACGATGCAGAACCACATCGTCCAGGCTTGCTTGATGCTGTTACATACAACCTTCGAGTTCCTGTACTTGTTTAGAGGACTCTTGAAGCCAACCGGCGCCAAAGCCGCTGGCATGCACAGGGCTCGTGAGGCAATGACCACCCAGCCAATCCTCTGCCGTTGAGGTGGCTTTTGGGACGCTCTGACAACAAATGCAAAATAGGGTTCGTCAAAAGGGCCCCTTAAAGGGCTCTATAAGGGTTTCTAGAAGGATTGTTTCGGGTCTTGAATAATTATCTATACTATTCTATACTACTTTAGGGGCCCCTTATTATAAGTATAGTGTAACATGCCCAGACATCCTATTCTATTACGTTCTTGCTTGTCCTGGCCCGCTACCGCATGGTGTTATTTTCAATGCGATGTGACAGGTGATCTCAGCGAAACAGAGTCAGGACCGATGGGACTCGTGGTCACCTTCTCTTGGACTTCGGAGTTTGTACGGCTGAAATGCAGCGTTTGTTTCTAGTTCAATCCCTCAACCTCCCTCAAGCCCGGCCCAGTCCTTCATGACCAGGAGCTCCCGCGTGTGTGGGAGAGACGACGCGCCCAGTTCGGCTCCCCAGAATTCCAGAAGTGCCACGTCTCGGGTGGGTTTGGACCTCTTTTGGGCACTCGGTTGTTGACGAGTCTGAGGCTGTGATTCCGGCGACATTGGGTAGGACAGGCTTCAGCAAGACACCAGAGCATCCGGGGCCGGGTGTGGCCGCATCTCAGAATCGTTGACGGCATCCGGGGTCGGACTGAGGGAGCCTGCCGAAAGCTGTGGCCAGTGCTGGATGGCATAGCAGCAGTCAGTATCTGTCATAGTGGCAGAGCCGAGCGAGACATTTTGCTGAGGCTGTCGTTTGAAACGAATCCCCAACAGAAAGCCTTAAACAGGGCGCGTGAGCTTCATGTTCAAGACTGCCCTCTCAGCTGTGTTAAGCACTCTCCCTTGCAGTGATTGCAGGGCAGTTCTTTGGAGTGCCTTGAGGTCCTTCCACAGCCGCCTGGCGAGGAGGCCTTCGTCGCGGCCCGCGCAGCTCTGCGAAGCAAAGGTATGACAAGAACTGTTGCGGCTCGCAGGGCGAATGCTTAATGACGTGGACAACATACGTAGGACAGGCTTTGCAACTTGCAGGTAGATTTGGAACAAGAGATGCGGGCTTGGCTCTGCACCGACAGACCGACGGGCATGTTCAAGGGTCTAGAGTCTCAAGGAAGCTGTCGCGCCTTGAGCTAAGGCGAGCGTGCGCCGGGACGAGTACCTGAAGCTGGAGATGTGGCTCTTGGCTGGGGGCTCCCCTGAGCCCTTCGCGCAGCGCGCTCAACGCGGAGCATCGGAGAGCACGGTCGAAAGTTCCGACGTCTTAGGAGGCAGTGCTGATAGTAGAGACTGGGCCGATGCGGTTTTGTCGATGGCCGTTTCTGCTCCCTTGCGAGTGGACGGTCGGTTCGAGGTGTCTCGAGGAGGTGACATTGGCATTTTGGGAGCTTGGCCGGGTTTCGAGGCCTTGGTTCCGAGAGCTTCTGATGGATGCGGACCCCGAGGCCTGGAAAACGGAATGTAACGCGCGAGAGTGTTTAAGTTCATCAGAGAGAGAATATCAGGATTCTCGATCTTCGGCATCTCGCCACCAGTTGCAATCTCCCTGTGAAGGCTTTCGTCGCGGCCTGCAGGGCGGTCGCGTCACACTACCGCCGCACCGCACAGCAGCACGCACTGGGCCCGGGGTCTCAGACAACTGCAAGACAGGTATCAAGTCTTGATCAAGTCAGCGCTCCATCGTCCCGACAACGAGTGCAAGCTGCTGAATGTGTTCTGGCTGGAGCACCACCGCATCAATCAGCCGACATAAGCCAGCAGCGCAGAGTCCCTTGCCGGACAGGTAGTGTATCTCCATGTAGTCACTAGTGATGTGAGGCGACCGCCTTTCGAGCTTCAAATTTCAGCCGTCAAGGTCTCGACAACACAGCGGCGCCATGCAGGCAGCTCCATCTTGACGACGAGACCCTCAGATCCGCATAGACAGCACAGTGGGGGCATGGGCATGGGCATCGCCTGCATCATGGATTTTGCAACTCGCGTCACTCTGTCTAGGTTTGCGTGTAGATGTCCCGCCGGGTGCCCTGCGCCCGAGAAAGCAACCATCCTTGGAGCCCACCACACTTTAAACGAATGCAGATTTGTAAGTAAATATGCATGCATGATCATGCATGCATGGATGTAAGTATGTAAGTATGTACATATTCAGGCAAAAGCAGGGAAGTATGCATGTACGTGACATAAAATAAAGTACAATACATTGAAGTAAAGGTAGGGAAACTCAAGCAAAGTAGTATTGTACTGCACATGCAATGACGTGTTTGTAGCGAGACGCATACATGCGTATGTGCGCATGCACCTTTATGCACATGCATGTTTAATATGCGCATCTCGCATGGCCTCAAATTACCCAACTTCTGCGGACTCGGCCAGGCCGTGGCTGAAGGGCTTTCTTGAGAGGCTCCAGGCCCCGGGCAGGGCGGAGAGGCTGAAGGAGGCCCGCGGCCCTGTCGGGATCGGTTTCGGCTTTAAGCGGGGCAAGGGCCTTGGGGCCACTGGGCTCTCTGGACACGACTCACTGAAGCAAGCGCTTCAACCAAGAGCTTCTGCTGATGAAGCGCGGGCTCTACAGAAGGTGTTGAAAAGCAAGAGGAGACCTGCGCGACTTTCCCCCATCGAGGTCAGAAGGCAAAAGGGTAAACCGTGCCGCACACGTTCGCAGGTAGGTGACGACCAGCCTGAGCCTTGCCTTCCTGTCGGGATTTTCCTTCAGTGTTCCAAGTTCTAGCTGCCAGGTCATATTGTTGATATCTCTGCCATCATGAAAGCTGGGTGCAGGCTGCCGAGCTGGCGGCCGCAGTGCTGGCAGCTCCCAGGCAGGGCCTCCAATCTTAAATGCAGTCTTTCCTCCGCATCCTCACTTGGAGACATATCCACAAAGCTCGGTGTGCGGTGTTCTGCTGTCGCCGCGGGCTGTGAGCAGTGAGGCCTGCTTCTACGTCACAGCGCCACGAGGCCTCTCCTGCACCTCGGGATCCAGCCAAAGAGTCGGCATTAGTTCGCAGTTCTCTGCCCACAAGACGAGGGTGTGCGTTTCTGACTTTTGTGCTTTCTGTCTCTGGAACGACCACGCCCAGTTCTTCGATGAGTTGGCCCTTCTTCTGCCAACACCCGGCGCCGAAGCCTTGCTTCGAGGCTGCGAGGCCTTCTCGGGACTGCGGCTGTGCATGGGGCGGGGGGTTCGCGGAGGCTTCCGGGTCCGTTGCGACTCACGTCTTGAAGGGCAGCCGAAAGATGGCCTGCTGGGCATCGGGTAGGGGTGCCTTTGCATGCTTTCAAACCCGCAGGGGCACGGTGCACTTCAAACGGAGGACCTCGAGCAATTGCGAAGCATGGCGGCGTAGCTGCAGAATCATGCAATGCACGAGTTTCGCAATGACAGCTTGGCAGTGTCAAGACCTCAAGTCCAGCTTGCCACAACACACTCGCCGAGGTGGCACCTGTGCTACCGGAACCAGACATCCTTGAGGCACTGTCAAACTCAAGAGTTTCCTCAATGCTACAACCTTGAAATTTCTAGCGTGCCGTGCATTGAGTCTGTGATAGGTCCCACGCTCACCGAACGTGGAGCACAATAGCTTCCTTGCTTCGTCGCTCTCTCAGAGTTATGGGACTGCGCTCTTGATTTTCTAGTCACGAGGCTGTGTCCATGTAGTATCTGCGTCACGCCGACAACGCCGACGCCGACGCCGACGACCAACACCACGACGACGACTACTACTGCTACTTCTACTGGCTAGTGCTACTGCTACGGCGTTTCGACTTCGGGGCTTTGCACATGCAACAGTCCTTCGACTGCTACTTTTGTCACACCGGCCGTTCAACCACCTCGGAGGCCTCTGAGGCCGGAACCATCGGGGCCCGAGGACTCCCGGGTTCCTTGCAATTCAGCTGATCCGTGACCCACTGGCGATTTGATGGTTGAGGAATTCCTCGTATGTCGGGCCTGAATTGGCGACTGGAGTCTGATTGTATCGCATTCACGACTCCAACACTTCCTCGAACCGCTATGCAACTCGAGGAACTCTTTGCCCAAGATGTTCCGACAGGATCCGCTGCGGCTGCTCAGCACGAGCTCTCCCAAGTCCTGGCGCCAGCGACTTGAGGCTGCTCTGGAGCCATGGGATGTGCCTCAGAGAGGACCTCTTTACTGTTTAATATGATGGAAGTGCGTAGTACGGCAAGTTTGCAGCGTGCAGATTGTCAAGAATCAAGCTTCTCAAAAATTCCGGCTCACGGTCAGCAAGGGCCTCATGGAACAGATTGTGAAGCCGACAGAGTGCGCGCAGAGATTACACGTCTTGACAGGCGCTGGAAGCAATCCAAGGCGCGGTGATACGCGCCGGGGCATGGTCCTAGTTGCAGTGGCAGAAATTTGGGAAAAGGTTCAGAGAAGATTTAGCAGAAGAGTCACCAGGAGTGGCTGCAGTATCAGTCCTGTGGTGGTAGGCGTATTCTCCCAGGCTGTAAGGCTGTAGCCATGTTTTCAGGGTGCTTGTCTCAGCACAATGCTTCTACGTCTTCCGAGAGTATTTTCCCGGATGGACCTGTGAAGTTGAACAGTTTCAGCTATCGTTTTCGTCTCAGGCCCGGACCTTGCGGCCGACAGTCTGACAGTCCTCATAAATGGCTTATTCTGATTCTTCATTCAGGTCTGCCGTGCGTAGCTTTGTCGCTCTGCCAGGGCCAGATGCAGACGGTGTCCACGGCCAGTTGCTGTGGCCACAGCTGGTGCTTCAGGCTCTGCCGTCGATCTACTGAGGTCTTGCGGGCTCAACTCTCCTCAGTCTCTTCTTTGCACCGTTTTGCTTCTCTGCTTGCTGTCTCCATCCCTCTTTCTCTTTCACCCTTTCTCCCATTCTCCCTTCTTCCCTCTCTCTCTCACTCTCTACTCGCGGTCTCTCTAACTGCGAAGACTCCCTCTCCGTTTTTCCGCCTCCTTCGGAAGGCAGAGGATGACCATCCGGCTGTGGCTGCAGCATCGCTGCGATGTCTCGCACGCCTCGCGCCCCTCCTGTCTGCACCAGGGGCAGGGGCCCCAACAGGGATCCATAGACGGCCAAAGCCAGCACACGTTTCACAAGGTCGGACTTCCATCAAAGCATCACCGTGGGTTTGAGAGTCTGAGGTCTTCGGCGATTGGAGCAGTTTCAAGGTTTAGGGTCTGTTTGTCTGTGCCTCATTTTGACTTTCCAGGCTTCAAGCTATCTTTTAGAAGTAGGCTGAAGCTAGAACTGCTAGAATGCTAGAACTACCTGAGATGCTATGATGACGGGGCCATCCATAAAGACAGTGCGTTGATGTCTCAGGATCACTTGCTTGCTCGCCTCGCATGGGCAGTGAAGGGCCGCTCGAAGGAGCGCCGGAAGCCAACTCGGTCTAAGTATTAACTTGGGGCTTGTAAGTTGATGGCCTTCCTCGGCATGTGCTGGCACGCTCGATTTCGGTGACAGTGCGAAGATGTGTATCCAGGTTTCTGCAAAAGCTCCTGGATAATGCACAGATAGAGCTAGTTACATAGATCTGACCATAGATCTGACGCGATTACCGTGGCCACCAGCCCTGTTATCGGAGTGTTTTCAGGTTCTGACCATTCCAGCCGGCACCCTGAAACCGTATCAGTCTTTCGTGCAGGGTCGTCTGCGGGACCAAGAAGCTGTCCGCGTGCTGCTTGGTGCCACGGCAAGGCCTCGTTTCACAGAGAGAGCAAATCGCTGCGGCCCAGCCTCAGAGCTGCGCTGCGCCGCTGGCAGGTGCCCCCGTGCCGTCGGGGGCCCAGCCGGGCTGGGCGCCTTCTTGGGCTTGGCCCTTGGCCTCCACAAGGAGCCCATGGAGCTTCCCGAGGGCCAAACAGCTTCACGGAACTCGTCTCGCGACCCCGAACCCTTTGTCGGAAGGAGCGTGCGAAGGAAGTAGTGCTGGAGCTGATGGCGGAAAGGCGCCTGCCTGGAAATGCTGATCTTGCTTGGATTCGTGGGAGGGTCTGCTTTAAGCCTGTGCGACAGAATCTAGTGGCTGCACGAAACGCAATATTCTGGAGCACAGGCCCAACTGGACGGTGGCAAAAAGAAAAACCTCCTGCACCGTCCGTGTATGTACCTCTGCATACCATGTCCAAAGTACGCCCAACATCCCGGAACTGCTAATCAACTTCTTTGCAACGGCCAGTTCACGAGCTCGTCAGGAACACCAAGCAGATCCAAGCAGCAAGATCAGGCTACGCCCAGTTCACCACTGGCACCGGAATCACAACCCAGACTGCACGGCGGACTGTGGCGTCTTGCTTCGCCACCGCAGAGAGCTTCTAAGCAGCTCCCACAATGCAATGTAGAGTCTTTCTCGTGTAGGCACCAGCCTGCTGGTGCTACAGGCCGGCCTGTCTTTTGGTTCATTCCGGGTTTGCCAAACGGCTACTTGCATGCAGGAGCATCACATTGTCAGATACTTTTGGGTACATCCGGAACTCATCTCTGAGCATGATTTGCCGTATGCACGTTGCCGAGCATGAATGCAGCTTTGCAGATTAGCAGACATTGCCTGGAACTCCAACTCAGAAACGATGAGACACGCTGGGTGTTTTCTGCCGCGAGGCTGTTTACCAGCGCCTCTTGAGGCCTTGCTGCAGGACATGCGGTCGCAACGTAACAAAGACAGAGACTTCACAAGTGGCTGCTGTGCTTGCAGATGACGTTGCCGGAGGATTTGGGGAAGCTGAAGCCGCCGGAGATCCGACGCGGAGGCTGTCCGGGTTTGGGATCCCGACAGAAAGCTTTAAGTCCTTAGGAAGCATGCAAGCAACAGCCTCGACAGGCATGTGGAGCAATGCATAATGCACTGCAGGACCCCACCGCCAGGCAACATCGTTGGGCTCTTCCAGCATATTATTTAAAGGATTCTCGAAACGAAGCTGCCCTCAGCGCAGGAGGAAATCCTGAGATCGTTTGTCTTGGCATCCTGCAATGTCCTGGTCCTGGTCTTCTTTGCAACGGGATCTGTATGCAATGAAATTCGGCCTCCAGCAACCAAGCAACCAATACTCGAAGGGCCTGCATGCCCCAATTCCGACATGCGTGTGCCGTGGCAGGGCTGACCCTGAGCGAGAGCCCGGTGCGCAAACGGGTGCTCTGCTTGGGTAGCCCCGAGTTCTGCCGCCAAAGCCCCAGGCAGGCGAACATGGGAGAAGGGAGCTGTTTTAGTTTGCTCATGTATTGCCCGGACTCCGTGCGATAATTTGAAGTTGAAGCGGGCATCGAGTGGCACAGCCTTGAGAGCCTCGAAGCTTGAATCATGTTTCCTCCGTCAGGATCTCTCCTGTGCAGAAAGCCACACCTTCCACGACCTCACCGGGGGCATTCCTGTCCTTTGCTGAGGCCGCTTGTCTGACAACTCGCACATTCCAGGCTTTTGAATGTGCGACCGCGGTCCAAAATCAAGCAGAGGTCCGAGGTGATTGCTCATGTGTGTGGTATTTGCACGGTACCACCAGGATACGCGTGGTGCTGCCCATTGTAGTGGTGAGAAATAGCAAAGCTTAGGGATTATTGCCAGACGCTAACCGCACGAGGTCCATGGTGCAAAACTTCCCCTGAGTCCGTGAGGCCCTGCCGGATCCGGACTCGGTTCCGCCTCGCCCACAGCGGGAGCACAGGAAGCAGGATTCGGATTCTGGAAGAAAGTCGCGAGGACATGCAATGACGCTCCCCTCTAACGGGGATTCGGAGGGCATTCTTCTCCATCTTCTCATGGCTTCTGCGCTGCCCTTTGCCTGAACGGTTTGTTGAACCGTGCGTCTCTCAGAGGCCGCTTTGCCGGTATGCATCGCCGGTGAAGCCTTGGAAGCAGGCTCCGCGTCGCAGAGCTTGAGTTTGGCTTTCACGTGGTCGGGAGAAGATTCGCGCTTCTGCATACTCAGCAGCGAAAGCTTCCGACCCCCGCGACATGGAACTCGGCCTCCAATGCCCATCGGATCCTGCTCGACAGGTCCGCCACTGGGAGGCTCGCACGCCGGACACCACCCGAGGCGTTGGCATGGAAGTCGAGTCCGAGCTGTGTGGGCCGTGGGCCCCCTTCCCGCCTCTGAGGCAGCGCCGCCTCGCTGGGACCTTCGCTTCCATCGGAGTCGCGGCTGCTGAGCCTCTCTCAGGCTCGCGTTGTGCCTGACTACTTCGGGAACAGTGGCTCGGAGCATTGTGAGCCCAGGTTGAGCACATTGCCCTGAACCCAAAAAGAACGGCCTCCGAGAGAGACCCCGGCCTTGTTGGAAGGCTCCCTCGCCTGAATATCTCGGTGACACACAAAGCACGCTGATGGGCACATCGCCGGAAGACCAGCAGGACAGAGATGTTTCTAGAGTTCAGGTTTGTGGGGGCTCCGGGTCACCGGTCGGATACATGGTGATTGGACGAAGTGAAGTCAGCAAGCGCAGCACGACAAAGGTTTGCTATGAAGAAGCATGAGGTAGTGTGCTGTCCAGGGGAAATTGAAAAGACTGGTAAGGATTGACATGCAGATACTGCACAACCCGCAGTACTACTACAGCTTGCAAGGCTGAACACACCATCATGCTGAATTACTGTAGCAGGCAAGTCCAGCAAAGGTGTGGCTTTGGAACTCAGACTGTGCGCGGGGTTCAACAGTAATCAGATTGATTCCAAAGCCATTGAGTTCTCAGATATGTCCTGGACATTTCTGACATCCACCACATAGAGCAGAATGCAATATAGAACATGTTCTCCTCGACAGCCTTGGCGTTACTCGATGGTTTTTGGGTCCGCCCTGACACCTGCGAAAGGAAGAGCCAATCAGCCCGGAGGCTCTGAGCAAAGAGACGAACGACGAGGCCAGGACAAGGGCTGAGGGTTTCTGGGCATAGACGGCTAGGGTGGGTTTAGGATGTATAGAAGCTTGGGAGTTGGGGTCGTGTCAGTGTGAGACCGTAGGGTTTAGGATTTAGGATTGAAAGCTTTCAGAGGCTAGGATTTGGGATTTGAGGTTTCGGCTCTCGTGCTCGGGAATTGTGGCAGTTGGAGGTTGAGGATTTAGGGTTTAGAGTTTATGAAGGTTTCAAGCATCTCCGGTTGGGTGTTGGCTCCAGGTTTGTGTGTAGGATTCAGGGTTGGTTCAGGGTTGAATGAGATTTTCGGGTTTGGGGCTTTCGGGTTGAGGGGAGGTTTTGAGAGTCTAGGGTGTTGGACTAAGCTTTAGGATTCAGGATTTAGGACAGTTTTTGGATTGAGGCATTGGGGCCCTGTGTGCGAGGTTGAGGATTTAGGGTCTTTAGGGCTTAGGATTCAAGGTTTTGAATTTGAGGTTTGAGCTCGAGGATTCGGGATCCAGAACACTTTTTTGGATCCAGGGCCCAGCGCTCACGGAGATCTAAGGTTTAGAACTTGGCAGCGGGGTAGTGCGAGGTTGAGGGTTTAGGGTTTAGTGTTTCTGGATTTGAGGTTTAATTTAGTCTCTAGGGTTCAGGGTTCAGGGTTCAGGATATTTTTCAGGGATGCAGGGTTTAGGGCTAAACAAGATTTAGGGTCAGGGAGTGTGAATTGTGGTAGCCGGCATTGCGGATTTGGGGTGTGGGGTTTGTGATGGAACGGTTTTTGAGAGTCTAGGGTTTTGGATTGGAGGTTTAGGCTCCAGGGTTCATGGTTTCGGCCATTCGTTGGCTTCAGGGTCTAGGGTTTAGTAAGATCTCGGGTCCAGTTTTTGAGAATTGTGGTAGTGGGAGGTAGAGGATTTATGGTGTCGGGGTTTAGGATTGAAGGTGTTGAGAGTCCAGGGTTCGGGATTTGAGGTGTCGGCTCGAGGACTCAGGGACTCAGGGTCTAGGAGTCTGGGACATTTTCTGGACTCGGGGTTTAGGGCTCACTAGATTTCGGGTTTAGGGCCCGGGAATAGTGAATAGTGGTAGTGCGAGGTTGCGGATTTATAGGATAGAGAGGGTTTTGAGAATCTAAGGTTTTGGATTTGAGGTTTGGGCTCGAGGATTCAGGCTGGATTTTTTTTTGGATTCAGGGTGTAGGGCTAGGTTGGATTGAGGGTCTGGGCTTTTGTGAGGTTGAGGATCTGGGGTTTTAGGATTTAGCATAGAAGGGTTTTGGATTTGAGGTTTTGGGATTCAGGGTCTAGGACGTTTTTCGGATTGAGGTGTTTAGGGCTCAGTGAGATTTAGGGTCAAGGGCTTAGGAATTGTGGCAGTGATTGAGGGTTTAGGATTAAAGTCTTTGAGAGTCTGCTTGGATTTGGGATTTGAGGGCTCAGTGGGGTTTAGGGTCTAAGGCTTGGGAAGTGTGGTGATTGAGGATAGGGATTGGATTGAAGGTCTTGAGAGTCTAGGGTCTTGGATTTGAGGTTTGGGCTCGAGGGTTCAGGGTGTAGGGCATTTTGTAGATTGAGGGTTGGGTCTCACTAGATTTAGGGTCTCTCGCTTGAAAATTGTGGTAGTGAGAGGTGGGGGATTAGGGTTTCAGGGTTCAGTTTTCAAGGCTGTGAGAGTCTGAGGTTTGGGCTCGAGTGTTTCAGGGTCCAGGACATTTTGTGGATTCAGGGCTTGGGGCTCAGTGAGATTTCGGGTCGAGCGCTTTGGGATCCTGGTGGTGGTTTAGGGGTTCGGGTTGACGGCTCTGAGAGTCTACTCGTGGGGTTTTGGCTTTGGGGTTTCGATTCAGGGCTTAGGGCTCAGTGAGATTTAGGGTCTAGGTGTCTAGGGCTTGGGAAGTGCGGACCTAAGATCTTAGGGATTGAAGGTTTTAGGGTTGAGGGTTGAAGAGATTTGAGCTTTGGGTTCAGGATCCAGGATTTAAGACTTTTTTGGTGATGGTCTAGGGCCTGGGGCAATGTTACTGGTTGAGGATGTAGGGTTCTAGGGGTTTTGGATTGAGGTTTTTGGGAGTCAAAGGTTTTGCATTTGGGGTTTGGGCTCGAGGATTCTGGGTCTAGGATATCTGTCGGATTTAGGGTTTCGGGCTCAGAGAGATTTAGGGTTAAGGGCTTGGGCATTGTGGTAGTGAGAGGTTGAAGATTCAGGGTTTCAGGGCTTCGCTCAGTGAGTTTTAGGGTCTAGGGCTTGGGAGTTGTGGCAGTAAGGTTCAGGATTGAAGGCTCCGGTGAGATTTAGGGTCAAGGTCTTGCGAATTGTTGCAGTGAGGATTTAGGGTTTTGGGCTTCAGGATAGAAGGTTTTTGAGAGTGTAGGGTTGGAGCAGTGTTCGGGAAGTTCAAGAAGTTGAACATCTCGGGTTAGGAAGAGGGAGGGTGCAGGATTTCGCGTGTTGGTCGGAAGGGCTTACGTTTGTCGTGTAGCCTTCAAGGTAAAGAGTTTGGGGTTTAGGTTTATCTTAGGGGCCATGGGCTTGGGGTTCAGCTTTCAGGCTGCAGAATGTAAGACGTAGGATTTAGCGCCTAGGCTGAGGCTTCAGGACAAAGGTTGTAGGGTTTAGGGTGTCGGGGTTCATGATATTGCAAAACGAGGCAGAGCCGGGCGACGAGAAGGAAGAAACTGCGGAGGATGTGGAGGAGGCTCGACCAGCCAGCGGAAGAGCTTGGATACACTAGGTGCCATGCTGCCAGATAGTGTACAGACACCTGCACCGAGATGGAGACACAGACTCGCTTGCGAAACTGTTTGTATTCCATGCTAGGTCTGAGGTTCAAGATGTGGAAGTCGACACCAGATTGTTGCCCTTCGCTTTGTATTTTTTAGTTGGAGTCTGCTGTTTCACACACGTTGTTGGTCGGCAGCATGACCCTTAACCGTCTTTTTTCTGTGCTTTCATGCAAGCCTCTGCTGTAGGCCCTGGAGTCGCTTGAGTCTTTCCTGAACCGGCTTGCAGCAGAGACACCACAGGCCGGGAGGGATTGAGAAGGGATTCCGTTACAGGTTCTGTGCATTCCCACTAACCCTCGAGCTCTCGGCGGATTTTTACATTTCAAGTCCTGAGCAATGTAATCTAGCCTGGTTTTGACGTCTGGTGTCGCATCCGGTCCCACAGCAAGCTCGACAGGGATTGAAGAGGTTGAGACATCAGAGGGCGGTTAGGATATTTTCAGGGAACAAAGGGAGCAACACACCTCAGAGAGAGAGAGAGAGAGTTTGGTGACTTTGAGAAAAAATGGTAGCAGTGTTTCAGCGGACAGGGGTTCGATTGAGAGTTAAGAGGAGCGAACTATTCGAGCGGATTCGAGCGGGAAGATCTTGAGCCGATCAAATGAAGCAAGTTTGCAACCAGCCGCAGCTCCGGCTTGGACCTATTTACAAACTCAATTCTCACTTCGAAGGAAAACTGCATTTTCCAGGCGCGAGCCTTGACCACGGATCGCCCGCCTGAGAGGTTTGTAAAAAGGTTTGTAAACAGTTTGTAAATAGGAAAATGCAGCCAGTTTGTAAACAGGAATTTCCCAAACGAAACCCTCCAATTGAGTTTGTAAATAGGAATTTCCCACACGAAACGCTCCAATTGAGTTTGTAAATAGAGATTTTCCACACTTGTAAATAGGAATTTCCCACAAAAAAGAGAAACCTCTAACTTTCCTGAAAGGGTTGTAACTACTGCGCGCTGTGCATTTGGCTTTTTGTGATTTTGTGGGCTCGGGGCGATTCCTGCCCTTAATTATCCGAACTCGTGCGTACAAGTTTTGACAGATAATTTGCAATTCGCTGGTGTTCACGGAGCCTTCGTGTGGCTTGGGCCTGGGGGTAGCGCATGTCAGCTTTCCCACTTGTGCAAAAGCTGTGGAGTACAGGGCACTTGCCGCATCTTGCCGCAACATGCCACCCAAAGCCCTGTGTCAAGCTTCGCACATGTCGTCCTCGCGGATTTAATTGGTAAATCTCCGGGGTACGTCGACATGTGCTATTTTGCTGGAAGGCACTTGCTTTCCCTCGCTACTGGTATCTAAACCTAAACACCAATTTATGCACATCCATTGGGCTCGGACAGTCGGATGGGGTCGTCGGTGATTAGGCTTGGGCAGTCTGAAGATAGGACCACGAGCTTTCTACAGCCATGATGTGTAGCGACGTGCCGATGCGCCCTCGCGACCCTGAAAGGATCTGGCCAAAGCCTTGGCCAATACCTGGTCCGACGAGGCCGCAAGTGGCAGCCCCGGAATTCGGAGTGGAGGAGCTAAAGATTTACAGACCCGCACAAGAAGATTTCCGCTTTCTTCGTGGGTTGGGCGCACGAATGGTCGACAGTCGGCAGGGCCCAAGGGGTCACGCCTGGTTTTGCAATCTGGTTCGCGACTGCAAGAGCATCCGTGGCCATGGGCTGCGGCCAGTCTAAAGTCTAACTCACCGCGTGACTGTCATTTCTGTGCCATGTGCCATTCTGTATCTGGACCGCTGCCGCTTCCAGCCCGAAAGCCGAAAGCCAAGTGGTGCCTTGCTGTCGGGCCAGTTTTTTCAGTTCCTCGCTGCTTCCGCCATGGAGGACCTCTCCTGCTCTTGCTCGCTGCTTTCCGCAGTCCAGCAGAACCTACGAACCAGCTTTGCAAGACATGAGTTTCCACAGGAGATCAACTTTAAGTTCGCGGACCGTGCCGAAGTACCAGGATGGCTTGGAGTGGACGTGCAGTCAGAGGCATCGCTAGAGATCGGGTTTGCTTGTTTGGGGCTGGACTACAACGAATCTCAATATATGTATATATATATATATACGTATATTCATTTACTTGTTTATACTGCAATGCATATGCAATTGCTGCCATTCCATTATGGCGTGCTAGACTGCAGCTTTCAAGTCGCCCAGCTGAAAGGTCATGGGACGGATCCTGGAGGTCAAACCGGACAGGATCCTGCTGGCACCCCCGACGCAGTTTCGGATCCTGTGCCGTTGCAATGTCTTTGGCTTTGGGCTCTCTCGGTTTGCTGACATTTGTGGGCGGTTGCGTTTGAAAGATTTCGGTTTTGAAGGCTTCAGGTGAAGGGTAATTACAGGCGGCTGCTAGCCATGAAGTGCTGGGGCGAATGGTCAGGGCTTAGGGTTGAGGAGCGCCTCACGTCGGCGGGGCCTGATGTCAAGTTTTAGCAAGTAGCGGGACCCTGCTTCCTTTCCCCTCTCTATTTTTTCTCTTCTCTCTGTCTCTCGCTGTCTCTCTGTCTCTCTCTGTCTCTCTCTGTCTCTCTCTCTCTCTCTCTGTCTCTCTCTCTCTCTCTCTCTCTCTCTCGCTCTCTCTCTCTCTCTCTCTGTCTCTCTCCCTCCCTCATCTGTCACAAAACCGAGCATGGACGACACCCTCGTCGTGGAAGGTGTGCGAAAAGACGGTTGATGAGATGCACGGCGACTATTTTAAGCCACTGATGGAGGCGGCCATGGTTCGGACTTGAAGCTCCGGCAGCTTCTGTAGGACAAGTTTCGGAGCAAAGTTTCGTCCGCCGGATGAACTAGACTGTCAGGATTACTGTCAGGATTGCGAAGTGATAATTCGCAGATCTCCGTAGGCCCTCTGCTTTTTGATCCGCACAAGTGTTGAAGCATATCGTCATGAAGCAGCATCGTCGAGTGATATCTTGCGCACTGGCATGGCACTCCTGCCCGGACTCAGACTGGCTCCTTTACACGCTCCCGTGCTCGCGGATCCGCTGTGGAAAGCAGAAAGCCAAAAATGTTGGTGCAAACACCTTCAGTGACTAGAGGCAGCTCCCCCCCAACATCCCCACGCCTGCTGAAGTCATAGAGCGGGGAGGGACCCCGGTTGGTAGACTTTGTTTGCCAACTCAACCGACACATTGCAACGTGAGAGGCTGATTAGATGTGTGAAGCAAAAACGGTTGCACACATATGAGTATGGGTACATACATGCATACATACGTACATAAATACGATACATAGATACGCAGATACATAGACACACAGAAATATGCATGCAAAGTTATAGACATGAGCAGTAAGCCCTTCGGCATGTCTTGAAAAGTTCAGGCAGGGGCCTCTGGTGGTGTTGGCGACAACTTCCACTCGGAGGTCGTGCCGCCGCTGGAGAAGTGCCTCGCCGCTCTTTGAGCCCGTTTCGGGTCGGTGTGAGGTCGGTTCCTGGAAGACGGGTTTTGCAGACGGGCACGCGCGCGCGCACGGGTGTGAGTGTGTGTGTGTGTGTGTGTAAGCCTCGATTCTAAGCTAGAGGATTTTGGCATGTGCGATGCAAGTGATTTCCGATGCTACAATGTTCCTTTGTCAGCAGGGGGGCAAGGGCTCCAGTGATCAGCCTTGCCCAACGAAGCCAATCACTGGAGTGGATGCAGTGGCTGATCACCACTGTGTACCTGCTTTCGGATTAGCCAGTGGGCCCCCTGAGGCACTGGAGTAACCAACACTAGAGTGACAGCTTCATGTTTGCCACAGTCGAGTTCTTGCATGGTTGCTGCAATCTGATCATTCAGGTGTGACTTAGGCCTCAGGTGTTCGTCGACTTTAGCAACATATTATGACAAAACTGGAAGTGATTGGTTGTGTCCTGATGGACCCCAAACTCCGTGTGTGGCCTTGTCGCCAACGGCAACAACCGCTCCTGCGGACTGCCAGGGTACGTTTCTTGCGGCCCAAGATGGTAACAGAACAGGCCGTACTCCTTCGGGACAGGTCAATGGTGCAAAGGCATTTATAAAGAGTGGCCCTTTTCGTGTCAGGTGATGGGTCTAAGTGCTCCTAGTGAGCAACCGGAAAGACAGTGCCCCGATTGGTCAGGTGATGGGCTTGTGTGGCCCGACGGTCCTAAAGTGGCTCTAGTAGCCTGGAGTACACAAAGAAGCAACGGTAACCAAAGATGTTTGGCCGTGGTAGCATCTTGGCTTCAATTCGTTTTGTCTGTTTGCTTGTTTGTTTTGGTAGTCTCTCCGTTCTGCGAACATGGATCCTGTGCCGGATGCAGATGTTTCCGGGATTGATATCTCGGAGGAGGAAGGACCTTCGCCTTCAGTGATTCCGTTGCCCAATTTTGGGTACCAGGGAGTCGAGATCGACAATGTTCTGCCAGATCGAACCTCTACAGGACGGGACATTCCGACGATAGACTCTTCGTCTGCTTCCGAAGATCGTGAGGACACTTCAGAAGTTTCGTCGGACAGTGACCGATCGATTGCAGGCACAGCGAATGCACCCCAGCTCACTTCGCGAGGTATTGCTCGTGCCAAGAATGCTGCTAAAGTTCCTAAGGGATCAGTGGGACAAGCTTTGCAGCAGAGGAGGGAACAGATGCTGGGAGCAGTCGAGATGTGTAAGTCACCAGCAGAGACCAAACAGCCAGTTGTTGATTCTGCTTCAGATATTGATATTCAGGTTCAACAGGACATGGCAGATCGTGCTGTTGCAATGGCGACCACTCGCACTCCTGCACAGATAGGACTCAAGCGCAAGTCGCCAGCTTCCCCATCGTCGGCTGCACCACCACCACCCCCTCCTCCACCACCTCCTCCTCCACCAGCGCTTCCTGCAGGTATTGATTGCACTCCGACACAGCCTCCGCAGTATGCAGGTGATCCTCTGCTTACGACCAGTGGTCAGGACGTGCATTCTGAGTTGGTTTTGTCGAGGACAGTGGGTGGAGCAGTCAGTGTCAAGCTCAAGAGTTGGCAGGGACGGCTTATCATGCAGGCAGCTCCGGAGGACGAGATTCGAAACAATATGAAGATTCTGACTGACCTTTGCGAGGAATCAGGCTTTCAGAATTTGCCTCCTTCCGAACTTCACTGCTTTGCAACGATGATGTGCCGTTACACAGGAGATACATCCCGCATGTTCAGTCGAGTGAAGTGTCATGAGTCCAAGGCACATGTTTACTGGAGTTTCGATTTGACTGAGCGGTTTGTACCGCATGATGATTCTTCTGCTGAACTTCGCAACTTATATTATTTTGCACACGGCTCGGACATTGCAGGCGTACAAGGGATAATTCAATCTCGGTTTTTGGCACCCGCCACACTGGCGGACGGCCCGGAGGCCGTAGGCCACTATTCGCAGGCAACTCCGTGGAGCGATGACATGTCGTTTGTGCAGATTCTTGATAGGGTTACGAACTCTGCAAAATGGGCTTGTCCCATTATCACTCATGGATATGCTAGTGTTCCCGGCCAGCATTTCGTTTTGAAGTCGGGCGGTGGAGAAGACGCCCAGCAACAGTGCCTCATACATGGGGTCGTTCACTTCAAACGGGACCACAAATATGTGATTCACAGTGGAAGGAGCACAGTGGCAGGTTTCACAGTGGCAGTTGCCAAGCAGTTCACCCCTTTGAGAGATGCCTCCGGTCGCCCGCTTTTTCAGGTTCCTCTGACACATGCTCAGCAGATCCAGCGTGGTGCAGGCGACTGACGTCATTTCGCACAGGACTGAGAAAACAAACCAGGACGTGTGAGTCTTGCATTTTTCGTTCACCGGGCAGGACTGCTTGCATTTGCATTGTCATTGTTCAACATACATGTTTTGCACAGTCTTTGGCCTTTCAAGTCTTCCTGCAGTGCACTTGAGCCATGTCGCATCGTCGTCGTGATTCGCGATCTCGAAGCCCACCGTGCTCGCATCGCAGACAGCCTGAGTTTTCTTCTTCGGGTCGTACCACTCGGCACAGATCTCGTACTCGTTCCCCAAGAGTTGAGCGAAGAAGTGGGAACCTTCCGGGGTCATGGAGGTCGACCTCGCAGGAGTGGGACTCGAACAGGGTGTATGGTCTGACGTTGCCGAGACGTGTGACCTCTAATCGTCTTACTCGAGAACTTGACATTTCAGGCATGGAGATCTTTGAGGTGCCGTTACATCGAGTGGTCTCAGGGGGCACTTCTAATTGGGCTCTACGACAGATCGCTCATGGTCGTGCCGTGCATTGGGAGAACTTTCGATCCAAACAGGAGGGAGTGTTTGCTGGGGTCTTAATGAGGGCACTTCGCTCTGAACAAGCAGAACAGGAGGGCACCGATTTTGTTACCATTCTGAATGCTACTCAGAAGAAGTTGTTTCCATCGTCGGAGCTTCAAGATTGGTCGGCTCGCTACAAGACAATCCAGAAATTGGCCGAGGACCTGGTGAAGGACTTTCGTAAGCATGCACCAGTTCAGACCAATCAGACTTTGTTGCAGCGGCTTCATGCTCTTGAGACCGAGAATGCT